CTCTACTACTGATTACTGAGTATACCTAGCGAGTTCATTTGAGAAAATACATGACAACATTATGACAATAATTCCTACAAAAAAATGTGTGATATTTTTGCATCATTTGAGATATAAATATGCTATTTTTGGACTTTCAGAGTATCACGATGATTATTATAAAATTCTAAAATAAATTTACGTAGACCTGCTTTCTCTCAGGGCCCCACCCCCGGGCCATACGCACGCATACGTAACATATCCGTAATTGACAATCACCCCACCCCCCTCAGTGCGTAAGTACTTCATGGAGATTTGTAAAGCAATGTCGTGTGTGATGTCATGTGTGATGTCGTGTGTGATGTCGTGTGTGATGTCATGTGTGATGTCATGTGTGATGTCGTGTGTGATGTCGTGTGTGATGTCATGTGTGATGTCATGTGTGATGTCATGTGTGATGTCATGTGTGATGCCATGTGTGATGTCACGTGTGGTGTCACGTGTGGTGTCACGTGTGGTGTCACGTGTGATGTCATGTGTGATGTCATGTGTGATGTCATGTGTGATGTCATGTGTGATGTCATGTGTGATGTCGTGTGTGATGTCGTGTGTGATGTCGTGTGTGATGTCATGTGTGATGTCGTGTGTGATGTCGTGTGTGATGTCATGTGTGATGTCGTGTGTGATGTCATGTGTGATGTCGTGTGTGATGTCATGTGTGATGTCATGTGTGATGTCATGTGTGATGTCATGGGTGATGTCATGTGTGATGTCATGTGTGATGTTATGTGTGATGTCAATAGTTTGTAATAAAAAGATGTTCATAAGGATATTAAAATTCATGCACAACAACCCCCCCCTCCGGGCTGCTATTGCCTCTGTTGTTGTGAGCCTTTGTGTCCGCATTCGGCATCCAGAAAATCTGGCCAGTTTATCTCATCATCTTTCGGAAAATATCAAGTTTTGGTCATCATGGTCATTTGAAGATGAATTCTAACAATTTTTTTAAAAATAACAACACACAATGACACATTTTTCGAAATCTGGGCAGTGAACTTTAATGTGTCTTTCTAACAATCTTCAACAGGATGGTGAATATCATATTCAAAAATCGGTTTTAAATTTTCAGACCCTTCTGTTAGCCAAGTAAAACAAATAACAATAAAATTGTTACAATAATGTTAAAGTTTTATTTAATACTTAAGTGGAATTATCCAAATCATTAAGTAATTGAGAACACATTGGTGAGGAGTTAAATAGTTGCAGGGCTCATATTTGTTTTTCGGCGCATAGATTAACAGGTGATTTGGTTTTTTTAACAAACGGAAGTAAAAGAAATGTAGCGGTATGCATTCCTGTTATGTTTTCAATCAATTCAAAAAAAAAAATTAAAACATCACTCAACTTTACATTGAAATAAGCTACCCTTATTATCAACGATGAGGTAAGAAAAGGATTAATAATCATACTTCGTGATTATACAGATGTTATTGAAAAGAAATATTTGTATTTATTACAAAAGTAAATTCAAATAAAGTTAATTTTTAATTCAAAAATGTTTATTTCAAAAAGTTTTTCTTTTTGTAAACTCCTCCTCATCCTCATGTCCCTTAGTCCTTCGACCATTGGGGCGCCACAGATGACATGTGAACCATCCTCCTCCATTTCTCTCTGTCTTCAGCACTATGCACTGCATCGCCCAGTGTTAGTCCTGCCCAGTCCTTGATGTTATCCTCCCACCTTTTTTCTTTGTCTTCTTCTTCTTCTCCCTCCTCTTGTGGTGCCCTGCAATATTTCTTTGGCAAGCCCTTGTTTCCTTGTTACGTGGCCGTACCATCATAATTTGCGTTTTTTCACAGTCACCAGTAGGTCATCGTACTCCCCAATTGCCTGAAGAACCCTTTCTTTCACTGTATCATTGGAGATATGGTCCCTATAGCAGATGCCAAAAATGCTTCTGAAGCATCTCATCTCCATCGCCTTTATTTTCCTTTCAAGATCGGCTGTTAATGTCCAGGATTCGCAGGCATACAGGAAAATGGAGAGGACTAATGAGCGCATCAGCCTGATTTTGGTGCTGGGGGCTATATTTTTGTCATTCCATATTTTCTTGAGCTTTTAGTGCTGTTGTAGTCTGCGCAATCCTGGACATCAGTTCGGGCTTGGAGCCTTGTTCTGAGACTATTGCTCCTAGGTATTTGAAGCGGCCTACAGCCACTAGTCTTTTTTCCTCCCCGACCTTAATTTCAGTGGTGATGCCTGCGATATTATTTATCATCTGTTTTGTCTTTTCGGCACTGATTAGCATGCCGTAGGACGACGAGGTCTTATCGAGACGCTTTACCAGGTCGGCTAGCTCTTCTTCGTTCCCAGCCAGCATGTCTATGTCGTCCGCAAAGCGTAGGTTGGTGATTGTTCTACAACCAATGCTGACTGTCCCTTCATGCGCTTCCAGAGCATCTAAAATAATTCTCTCTAGGAAGATGTTGAATAGGGTGGGGGAGAGCAGGCAGCCTTGTCGTACTCCAACCATGGTCTTGAACTATTCTCCGATGTTGTTGTTGAGGAAGACTGCACTGGTGGCCTTATCATAGAGGTTGCATATCATGCTGGTTAGATTTGTGTTGATGTTGTAGTGCTTCATGGTGGCCAAAAAAGCAGCATGCCAAACCTTGTCAAATGCTTTCTTGAAGTCAACAAAGACGTGGTATAGATTTTGTTGGTGTTGAGCATATTTTTCACATAGTATTCGGAGATTTAGAATCTGCTCAGTAGTGCCCCGTCCTTGTCTGAAGCCCGCCTGTTCTTCAGCAATGATTCTGTCGGCATATGGTTTTAGTCGGTGCAATATGACCTTCACCATGACCTTGCTTGGATGGCTTATTAGGCTAATTGTGCGATAGTTTTGGCATAGCTGTAGGTTACCCTTTTTGGGGAGGGTGACGATGAGCGATTGGGTCCATGGTTTGGACCTGTAAGCCAGATTTTGTTACAAATATTAAATAGGGCACTTATCATTGCTTCTCCTCCTTGTTTCATCAAATCGGCAGGGACATTATCCACTCCTGCGGCCTTTCCTGTTTGGAGTGCTTGGACTGCTGCTTCTACTTCTGCGCGGAGAATAGGGTAGTTATCATTGTCTGTTGCTGGAGGGACATTAAGGATCTCTGGGTTTATCTTTTGCAAACTGCCGACACTCAAAGTGCCACGCTGGGCGATAGCCCCTTTTATTCCTTAGTTTTGTCGCTGGGGTCAAGCATTGGTTAATCTGGAACTTCATAGTCTTTTCTTCATACAGTTCTTAGAGCTATGGCAAATATTTTTATATTTTTTTGGCTAAGATATAAGGGAGTGCATTCAGAACGTGTGAAGTAAATAAATTAAATATTAGAAAAAATACATTTCGGCTTGAAAAGAAAAGAAATGAACATCAAACGGAAATTTTGGTTAGATGCCTTATTAAGCAGACGATGCAAAAACAAGAAAAAACATAGGCGATACTTAAAATAAAATAAAATTTTGGTTGACTGTGCCGCCCCTTAAAAAAATGCTGATCTATGCGGCCTCATTGTCACATACCGAAAGTCAGCACCAAATGTGGAGACTCAAGGCTTGGACTAGTTTCATATTTAATTAAACAACCATTAAAAACAACGTTTTTTTGTATAAATCTTTTATATTCATTTTTATTTGCATTTATGTAATTGTACGTGATGTATCATAATGTATGCCATTGTACTTGTATCAACCGAATTTTGGTATTTGAACCCAAATAAGTCACACATACAAACAATTAAAAAGCACAAAACAACAGCTACGTACTTAACATCCATACCAAAACACGCGCCAATGGAACGATTCATATTTCATTCATCTTCCCCTTAAAAAACAAGAAAAACTGATTCTTGGGGGTTGGGGCTGAAAATTTCATGGAATGTGTTGTCATCGGTAAAGAGTCTGTGTGCCAAGTTTCAGCTCGACAGCATGACGGAGAGTCTGTTATATTTTTAGAAAAACACGAACAAAAGCGAAGTTAATATAAAGGATTATTTTTAAAAAAAAAGGATTTCATAAAAAGGATTAAAACAAGTTTTCTTTATCGAAAAATCCCGAGAATACAAATTAGTAATCTTAATAGAGTAGGATGACCAAATCATGAACAGTAAAAAATGGGACACACCCAAGGAGGGTTTGGGGAATACCTTCCACTTCCAGCTAAAGAGGGGTCCGAGGGCCTCCACCGGAAACTGTTTATTGAAATATGCTAATTATAACTATTTTGAGACCCACAAATCTTTTAAAATTTATTTTCACTTTTGTAATTTAATTTACTCTGAGGCATATCATAAACAAAAACAATAATTTTGCAGTGAATATGGCTATGGCAGGGACACTGTCTTTTGCGTAGCGTCGGCAGAGCGGTGGAGGGGGAACAGTGTAGCCACTGGCTACACAGCTAGCCATTACCCATAATATTACTTGAAGTTATATTATAAATTAGGAAGTTTTAGTGATTTGAAAATGTGTTTGGTTTTAGAAAAGACACATTTAGGCGTCCCGAGAGACTTTTTCAGGAGACCGGGTACGATATGAAAAAACGAGACGTTTGGTCACCTTATAATAGAATAACTTAGTGTTTTAAATTATTTTATAAACTCCCCGAGACCCCATTCATAAGCATTGAACTTTTGTGCGAATTATTATTAATTGACATCAAAAGGTTGAATCAATTTTTAAATAACTAGTTTCCATCCTTGCCAGATTATACCCACCGGGATATTAGGTTTTAGTCTAATTTAAAAAAAAAAAAAAAAAAAAAAAAAAATAAAAAAAAAATAAAAAAAAAAAAAANGCATTATTATTATTATTAATTTGGGAATAGGGTGGAGGGACGTTTAAAAGTTCTCTATACTTTGATGATTGAAGTCTGAATGAACAATAACGTCATTAAAAAAAAAAAAAAAAAAAAAAACAACGAAATCTCCTTTCAACAAAGTTAAACTATAGATCCATTAAAATCTGGAAGTACTTCAAAATATTAGGTGTGGAAGTGGGAAAATTGCCGAGTGCTATCTTTCATACAGTAAATCAGTAAACAATCATGTCTACTTTAGACGATCTTACTGACCAATTAGCCCAGACAAGGGTCAATACCGATTATGAATTAAGCTTTAAGGGAAAAGGATTAAAGCTCAATGCTCGAGAAGATGGTAAAACATATCACAAAAGATTGTTAGGCCTACTTACTACTGTTAAACTTTAATGTTGAAGTTTGATGATAATGAATATTCAATGATTAGGATTTAGGAGGATTAGGGGGGCTAATTACTAACAATTACGGTAAATTTTAAGGACAAATGCCACTTTTATCGCATTTCACGAATGTATCCTAAATCAATCCCTATGCCTAACCTGAACCCTAATCGATCCCTATGCCTAACCTGAACCCTAAATCGATACCTCAACTAACCTAAACCCTAATTCACTGCAACTATAATAATAATAAACACACAAAAGACGCCATGGCATCCGTCCTTAATTTTAGCCCTAATTACGTCAAAGGCAGTGTCTATACGTCCGGCGTGCCGGATGTATATTTCCCACACTATTTGTCCGGCGACCAAGTCACACGACGGCCGTAACAAAGTGGCAAGAGATATTTTGTCCATCAGCCTTGTCACGTGACAGCGAATGATTCAAAACTATTTTTAATTTTAAAATCTATTTCTCTACCAAGTAATGTACATCTTGCATGCAAATAATAGAAAAAAACTGAAGTGAAAGTGGCTTGTAAACATTTTTGTTTAGTTTATTTGAGTTTGTGTACCAGTAACCCATAATATAATTAGGGGCCAGTATTCAGTATGGAGTAGGCAACCAATAAAAGTTAAAGATTTTAAATTGTAAAGTTAACATTTTAAATTGCTAAAAATATTTTAAAACTTCTAATAAAACTACTGTTGCTGATGAACATGATAATATAGATATAATATAAAATATTTTTAATTAAAATGGGGGGAAAAAGGGTTCCCATGCGGGGAATCGATCCACATATATAATAGGCACTGGCCGGACGTCTATCTCCCGCACTATGTGTCCGGCGACCAAGTCACATGACCGCCGTAACAAAGTGGCGAGAGATATCGTGTCGGTCAGCCTTGTCACGTGACTGCGAATAATTCAAAACTATTGTTAATTTTAAAATCTATTTCTCTACCAAGTAATGTACTGAGTATCTTGAATGCAAATAATAGAAAAAGAAACTTAAGTGAAAGTGGCTTGTAAACATTTTTGTTTAGTTTGTTATTTTTTGTGTACCAGTAATCCATAAAATAAATTAGGGGCCAGTGTGGCAACCAATAAAAGTTAAAGATTTCATTTTAAATTATTTCAATTGCTACAAAATATTTAAAAACTTCTCATGAAACTACTGTTGCTGAGGAACATGATAATATAAATATATACAAAATATTTTAATTAAAATGGGAAGAAAAAAAACGACCCTATCCCCGGTATAGATCCTCAAACATTCCTATCGTCATGCAACCACTCTACCACAAGACCAGACAAGATGTACTAAATCGTACTTCGTTTGGAATTATAAAAACTACTAGCCGTCCGGCCATGTCCGGCGGTCACGTGACAAGTCGCCGGACGTGTATCTTGCGCACTACACGTCCGGCGCGCCGGACGTGTAGACACTTCGTAATTACTATTACTTGAAAGCCCACATCTGGTGATCTTGTTGTTCAAAAGAGTATTTATTTGAATAGGTACTAGTTTAAGAATAATAAGATTTATAAAAACACTTATTTCATCTTTCTATCTTTTATAGAACTGGAATTATGAATTTTTTGGTCTCATTTTCAACGACCCTTATATAAGCTATGGTCTATATTTATTTGTATGAGACCCTTATATAAGCTATGGTCTATATTTATTTGTATGAGATGAAGAATTAAAAATATTCTGAAATGAAAAGAAAAGGGGGAAAAATATTTTTTTTAAATGTATTCCAAAGGAAAAAGACAATTCATACATTTGAAGACATGATACCCAAAAAATATTTAATCAATGGTGTTTTAAATCTAACATTGGTTACATCTTGAGTGGTGCTCAATTTCCTGTGGAAGGAAACAAACATTGTGTGTTACAATAGTTGTAGCATCAATACTGCCGGAAGGCAACATATTTTTCTTCTTTTTAACGGGCACTTCCACTGGCTGCAACAAAAGATTTTGTATTTTATTCCAATTAGTTTCAATTCCTTTTTTAAAAATAGAAAGCTTTTTTTACAATCTTGACACATATACAGACCTGTTTATTCTTACGATTTAGGCATGCCATATATGATTTTGAGATGTATACATTATATATACTGTATTTTTATTTTTTACTATTAAGTTAATGTATTGAATGATTTTGTGACGATTTTGTAAGATTTTAAGAGTTTGACATAGTTGCTATCCTCTTGTTGGAAGGCCTCTAAGAGCAGAAACAGCAGCTTTCATGCACTCTGTCTTGTTCGGTACACTATTATACAAATAGATAGCATAGCCATTTCTTTTCACACTTGCTGTTGCATCCTGGGCAAAGCTTGCCAGATACAGGTTATAATCCTCAATAGTCTCTGACATTTCTTGAAATTACAAAGTGGGACAAAAAGAAAAATTAAAACAAAATAAAATTAACATTTGCAGACCATTTTCATTTATTAACTACTCTTATAACTATAACTCTATGTAATTATATAGCATAGTATAATTATAATGAAAACAACAATAATATTTTATATTATATTTCAATTAGAATATACTTATAATATAAATGATTGTTCATTTTGTTAATAAATTTACAAATTCAATAACAATCCTAATAATATAATAAACAATAAATGAATAATAATAATATTGAATGTAGAATAACTGACAAACCTACAGACAAACATAATTAGTATTATTAACTAAAACTAGTACTATTACTTGCATAATTACTATTACTTAGTAGCATTACTAAGACTTACACTAAGTATTTAGTAGTATTAGTATAAGGCATTAGTGGCCTAAAGCAGTGGTTCCCAAACGTTCAAGTTTGGCGGACTGGTGAACAAGTTTCGAAATTTTAGCACGGACCGGTGCAAGATTTATTTTTATACTTGTATTTCTATTTGACAATAAATATTTATGTTATGGGGATCGGCAGCGTTCGGCATGTGGACCAGTGAAGGTCCACGGACCGTCATTTGGGGACCACTGGTCTAAAGGACTAATTTTATTTAATGAATTTTAATTAAAAAAATGACAGTAAATTTAATATTTATGAATTTTTAGATATACATTTGAATAATTTATTTTAAAATCTGTTTTGATACACTTAATGTTAGGTAATTGTGTTTATGTTAAAAACAAAGGTCCCTTGTTTTACTTTAGATTAGTACGGCCACGAGGCTATATCTGGGGTATGATTTCATTTCTTAATTAAGTACTTTAATTTAATCTCACTCCACACTCACTCTAACATTCAATGACACTCTCACTAGTTCTCACTTTTATCAATACTATAACTATACTAAGAAACACAGGTGGTTCAGCCCACAAATAAATATTTAATTATAAAACAGAATCAACGACACACATACACAGTCTTAAAAAATGTTACAATTGAATGAAATAATTTTTTGTTGAAAACTTTCGTCTTAAAATCTACAACTCTACCTAACCTGAATCCTAAGTCAGTATCCATAACTCAAGCGTAAATTCCCTCTCTAAATTTAGTCTGGATTAGCTTGCTCTATGTATAATTGTTACCTATATGCGCTATAAAAAAAACGTGCATTCCAACTGTTCAGCCGAGAAGCGTAACTAACCTTTAACGAATAAGAGAAACACCAACATTCTTTCATCAACCTAATTAGTTTAAGCCCTGTGTTCATTACATATTATATTTGCAGCTGCCGATATCGTTGATGCCATAAACAAATGTGACAATTTAACTGCACTTCGTTTAGAAGGCAACACCCTTGGAGTTGATGCTGCTGAAGAAATAGCAAAAGCACTGGGTCAGCACCCAGAATTCAAGGTATTTTAGGATTTCTATTTAAAAAAATTAAAAGTAAGTATAATGGAATGCTTCTTTGATGGTTGGAAATTTATTAAAAATCTTGTTTATTCTGCTTATTTGAAACTTTTGTCTATCTGTTCAATCACAATCACTTATTACTAACATCTAATTGCCTAACATGTAAGTTGTCATCTTCACAAGTTATTATTCCATGTCATCTACTACTGTCAATAAATAAAAGCCTGTGAACTAAACTGAATGCTGTGGTTTGGAAGACTCTTACATTATGGCATGATATTGAAATCTCAAGAGTTTTGATTGCAGAATTTGTTTGACTTTCTTGTCTGCTGGATCTTATCACCAACCCATCAAAGGCTTTGAGAATGAACGGAGAATTACCCTGTTTATAAATAGTTATGTAGCTCTCAGTCTCGAATTAAACGGTTTCCAGATTTGAAACTGCTTCAAGATTTGTAAAAGTTTCAATACTTTTAAAATGATAGGCATTAATTGACACTAATCTTATTAAAATTATCTTTGTCATTGGATTATGGAGACTGAAAACTTCAAATATTGTAACAGTTGCATTTGGTTTGAGTGTTTCATTAAATGTAAGGAATCTAAATAGCAACTGAATTTTTTTTTAAATTGTGCCCATTTATGTAACAAGTTTCTAATTGAAATGTTGACCCTGTATTTTTTCAGCGGGCTTTGTGGAGTGACATGTTCACAGGGAGGTTAAAAACAGAAATACCTCTTGCTTTGGTCAGTAGTTTTATCCTTCACATTAATAACATACATTTTCCATCTATTTAATTCATGTAAAAAAACTCTGTTAAAAAGGAGTGAGTTTCAGCTCTATAAAATTTGCTAAATTAAAATTTGAACTAATAAAGATTAATAGGATCAAACTTCCCTGCATTAAATAGCTGCTGAAAGGAATGTCAAAATCAACAGGAGGCTGAAGAATAAAAAATGTGTATTACATTGTTATTATTATAACCATTACTAATTGAATACTTTTTTTCCTTAGAAACACTTGGGTGCATCCATTATTGCAGCTGGGTGCCATTTGGTTGAAATTGATTTAAGTGACAATGCCTTTGGTCCTAACGGTGTTGTTGGACTGGTGGATTTGTTAAAAAGTGCAAGCTGCTACAGTTTGAAAGAACTGAAATTAAATAACAACGGCCTAGGGATAGGAGGAGGAAAGGTCAAGGCATTTTTTAATTTGATTCCTTTTAAACATTATTTTTATTTAGTGTATAAGTAGAATATAATATGTCTTAATAGGCAATTAATTTTTCTTACAAATCCTTTACCTATTAATCATTCTACCCTGGGATAATACTATAGATCCACTATAGATGTGTGGGACAGTTATTCTATGGCTTCCTTTAGAGTCGGCAATAAATCTGCTTTTCATTGGTTGATTCATATTTCTAAATTTCAGATGTTGGCCGAATGTCTTACAGAGTGTCATAAAAGCAGCCTTAAAGCTGGTAGACCACTTGCCCTTCGTGTGTTTATTTCTGGCAGAAATAGATTAGAGAATGAGGGAGCCACAGCACTAGCAGGTGCTTTTAAGGTACATTAAATGTAGTGAAAGAATATAGGGGGGGGGGGGGGCGGGGCTTACTTAAATGTGGAGATAATTTAGTTACAATTTAAATGTAAGCTTTTCTGAATCTCATTGATTTACAATGTCATTGCAGGCTATTGGAACTCTAGAATTTTTAGCTATGCCACAGAATGGAATAAATCACCAGGGCATATCAGCGTTGGCAGAAGCTATTGCGGCCAATCCCAAGTTAAAACATTTAAATCTCAATGACAACACATTCACTGCCAAAGGTGCCGAGGCGATAGCCAAGGTCAGTTCTGTAATTATTCAAAGTTTTATAATTGTTGATACTGGCAAGGTGAGATGTCACCACAAGGACCAATATTCATATTTTTTAACTATACATGTTATTAAAAAATGTCTTTTAAATGTTGCAGATATATTCTAAATGTACACTTGTTTGTAGAGCTTCTATTACTTAAAATTGTTATGGAATAATATATTTTATTTTTCTTGTCAACGATTTATTTCAATATTTAGGCCTTGCCAAGGTTAGAAGACTTAGAGGTCATAAACTTTGGTGATTGTTTAATCAGGACAGAGGGAGCCAAGGCTGTGGCTAATGTATTAAGAAACAGTCATACAAATTTGAAGGTACTCTTCATTGCATTACTTTAGAAAAATTATTTCTTTGCATCCATGGTGAAGTATGACAAATACACCATCACCACACCCCCACCCCATAAATATATTATCACACCAGAATAAATCTCCACATTAAATAATGACATATATAGTTGTATGTATGTATTTTTTTTTATACAGGAGTTAATACTAAGTGGCAATGAAATCAGCAAATCAGGAGCTATTGAAATTGTGGAGAGTTTGGAAGAAAAGAAATCGCTTCAGAAATTAGACTTAGATGGTAAGAAAGTTAATGCATGTTAAATTTAAGACGAAAAAATCCTAACAATTTAAAAAATTTAGAATTCAAATATTTATGTGCTTATTTTCTCTTAGATATGATGAGAATCCTTTGACTTAGACTCATATGCACTTGACCATTTAACTTATATTTCCTGCGCACTCAAGGATTTTTAAAACAGATTTACTGTCACATAAAAAGCAACAGATTTGAACACAAATGTACTTTTCAATACATCAGGTTAAGTTGAATAACTTTTAAATGATTTAATTCAAGTTTATGGGTTTCAAAAACTACAGCAGGTCTTTTTGAGCTTTTCACGATTACAGTTTTAAGAAATTTTATAGTTTATATATATATTTATTTATGTTTATTGTTTTGTTCTTTGTGGTTAGATTGAGAAATTTCTGTATAAATTTTTTTGACAGCCAATAACTTTGGTGAAGAAGGTTGTGAAGACATCAAATCTTTGATAGAGTCTATTGGCCTTCAAGAAGCCTTGGGTTCATTAAGGTAAGGGCTTGATAGTCTATTGACCTTCAAGAAGCCCTGGGTTCATTAAGGTAATGACTTGTTAGAGTCTATTGGCCTTCAAGAAGCCTTGGGTTCATTAAGGTAAGGACTTGTTAGAGTTTATTGGCCTTCAAGAAGCCTTAGGTTCATTAAGGTAATGACTTGTTAGAGTCTATTTGCCTTCAAGAAGCCTTGGGTTCATTAAGGTAAGGACTTGTTAGAGTCTATTTGCCTTCAAGAAGCCTTGGGTTCATTAAGGTAAGGACTTGTTAGAGTCTATTGGCCTTCAAGAAGCCTTGGGTTCATTAAGGTAAGGACTTGTTAGAGTCTATTTGCCTTCAAGAAGCCTTGGGTTCATTAAGGTAAGGACTTGTTAGAGTTTATTGGCCTTCAAGAAGCCTTGGGTTCATTAAGGTAAGGACTTGTTAGAGTTTATTGGCCTTCAAGAAGCCTTGGGTTCATTAAGGTAAGGACTTGTTAGAGTCTATTTGCCTATGCCTTGGGTTCATTAAGGTAAGGACTTGTTAGAGTTTATTGGCCTTCAAGAAGCCTTGGGTTCATTAAGGTAAGGACTTGTTTTCTTTCATCTCAACAGTTGGCTAATCCAAACAACTTGTGATGTTTCTTTTTAAAATAATGAACCATTACAGACAGACCTGTGAGATGGTTGAACTATTACAGACAGACCTGTGAGATAGTTGAACTATTACAGACAGACCTGTGAGATAGTTGAACTATTACAGACAGACCTGTGAGATAGTTGAACTATTACAGACAGACCTGTGAGATGGTTGAACTATTACAGACAGACCTGTGAGATAGTTGAACTGTTACAGACAGACCTGTGAGATAGTTGAACTATTACAGACAGACCTGTGAGATGGTTGAACTATTACAGACAGACCTGTGAGATAGTTGAACTATTACAGACAGACCTGTGAGCTAGTTGAACTATTACAGACAGACCTGTGAGATAGTTGAACTATTACAGACAGACCTGTGAGATGGTTGAACTATTACAGACAGACCTGTGAGATAGTTGAACTATTACAGACAGACCTGTGAGCTAGTTGAACTATTACAGACAGACCTGTGAGCTAGTTGAACTATTGCAGACAGAACTGTGACGGGTATATCATCCAGCTTATTTCAACTTCACAGACGTGTATTGCTTGGTCATTATTACAAACATCACAAGTAAAAAAAATTGTACACTATAAAAAAATATTTCAAAACAAACTTTACTCTTTAGCTTTTCACCTGATGCTAATAACTAATTATCTAAAATGAGAGAATGGTCATCATTGAAATGACTTGTTATATGTTTAGAAGTCTTTTTTTTGTGCTTCCTTTGAATACCTTTTGCACAACAAGGTTGTCCAATTTTAAGGCATGCTGGTTTGTCAGCCTACTGGTTTGTAAATCGAAAATAATTCATTGTTAAAACTTGTCGTAGATTGACAATAGGGTACAATAAGATACTTGAAAGAACTTAGTGCTGAAAATTTTCATGGAAGAATCTTTTTTGTATGCATATCTTTTTAACAAAAAATGAAAATTAACAAAGAAAAGCCAAAAGATATTAGAGAGTTTAGGTAATCCATGCTGTCCATAATTTAACTGAATTTATGAAAGCTTTAAAGAAAATACTTTGAACGATTTTTTTTCATTACCTTAATTAAGCTTGCTAGGTTTTACACATGGTGTTTAGAGGCCCATGCTCTTACTAAATTGTTCATAAAGCCTTTTTTAATTTGTCTCTCCTAGTGGCGATGAAGGATCAGAGGATGAGGAAGGTGAAGATGACGAAGAAGAAGATGAAGAGGTATATTCTTTTACACCTTTCGATTTTTAGTTCAAGAGAAAAATATTCACCAGATAATAATAGTTTGGAATAAATCTGTCAATAATGGTGTCACAGCATGAATTTTCGAGTGCTAGGCCCTGCTAGATATTAGCTTACTTCAACTAATAATATTTAGAAATGGAATTTTTTAAAATTGATGACAAAATGCAAAATAAATGAGCTCACAATTATAATGAACTGACAAATAGATAAATGTATGTAAAATACAAACAACAGAATTGAACCCTTATCTAGAAATAGTAATAGTTTGGAATAAATCTGTCAATAATGGTGTCACAGCATGAATTTTCGAGTGCTAGGCCCTGCTAAGCAGACCTGCTTACACTAACCCTGCTACATTGATTTGTGAGGAACCAGTTTTGGATTCCAAGTCCTGATCCATAATTCAGCTTGAAAACACTGTCAAAATATATTGCCAATCCAACAGTGAAACACTGGATAAGATCAGTTTTATTAATGGGCACAATGACATTAGCTTTGTAACTGGCCCACCACCATTCATTAGTAGCAAGCCAATTTACATTTACTTATGTCAGAAGCCAAGTGGTAGCCTCATCAGGTATTACCGATGATAACATTCTAGCTATGCTTCCAATTCTATGTTGGAGTGATGTCATTAGGGGGCACAAATTGACAAATTAGAGACTCTGTTAGAAATTCATATGCTAATTATTCCATTTTTTTATTTAATGATTGTATGTCCCTTTAAAACGTAACTAAAAAATACAAAATGTCTTGTTACTAGCCTGGTACCCTCAGTCCATTAAGGGTAACAATTTAATCCATGTTACTAGCCTGGTACCCTCAGTCCATTAAGGGTAACAATTTAATCCATATATTATCTGCAGTCCAGCTACTTTATGAAGCTCATGATGCATCTCTCTCACTGACACTCGAATTAGACTTTCTCATTGAATGCATTAATTTAAGCTGTGTAACAAGCTATTATCAAAACAGGGTGAGGAGTGGAAGTTTCTCCAAGTTATTTTTGTAAAGAAAGGTTTTGTGAATGTCTACATTTATTTATTTACAGCATCTGCTGGTGTTCGTTGTTCAATACATTTGAAATTCTTGAGCAATAAATGCATTGGGCAGGGTTCATTCCTCTGGGCTTAGTTTTATTCACTGAGCAGAGTTCAGTCCACTTATCAAAGTTTCATGACTTTCTGACACCCATTGATTAAAAGTTGCTACTAATTTTAATGTATTTTATTTGTTAAGGAACCTGAAGATGATGACGAGGGACAATTAAACAATGATGTGAATCTTCAAGTGAAAGGAGTGGCCCTTACACCAAAGAAGCCAGTAAGTAGAGAAATATCTAGTATTATACCAAAGCCAGTAAGTAGAGAAATATCTAGTATTATACCAAAGCCAGTAAGTAGAGAAATGTCTAGTATTATACCAAAGCCAGTAAGTAGAGAAATGTCTAGTATTATACCAAAGCCAGTAAGTAGAGAAATATCTAGTATTATACCAAAGCCAGTAAGTAGAGAAATATCTAGTATTATACCAAAGCCAGTAAGTAGAGAAATATCTAGTATTATACCAAAGCCAGTAAGTAGAGAAATATCTAGTATTATACCAAAGCCAGTAAGTAGAGAAATATCTAGTATTATACCAAAGCCAGTAAGTAGAGAAATGTCTAGTATTATACCAAAGCCAGTAAGTAGAGAAATATCTAGTATTATACCAAAGCCAGTAAGTAGAGAAATGTCTAGTATTATACCAAAGCCAGTAAGCAGAGAAATATCTAGTATTATACCAAAGCCAGTAAGTAGAGAAATGTCTAGTATTATACCAAAGCCGGTAAGTGGAGAAATATCTTAGTATTAAACCAAAGCCAGTAATTAGAGAAATATCTAGTATTAAACCAAAGCCAGTAAGTAGAGAAATATCTAGTATTACTCGTAAAAGTTATTAATTTTTAATGCTTAAAGTTTGAGCCATGGTTTCTTACCTGCGTGATCTATCCTAGTTGTTTGTTATATCCTAGGTGTTTGTTCTATCCTAGTTGTTTATTTTCCCCATGTCAAAGTGGTTTCAGGGTTTAAGAATATACTGATACAAGTTCACTTGAAATGTTATGGTTTAAATGCATGAAATAAATGGTTGTTTTTTTAAAAATTAAATGTTAACCAATTAAGTAAAAAATCCACTAAGCTTGTCCATTTTACTTCAACAATTTCTAATGCAAGATGAAAATTTGTCAGAGAACATAAGCTTAAAAAAAAAGAATTTCTTAAGCAATAAATCCTTAAGAATGGTTGAACACTCAATCTTTTTCTCTTTGTCATTTCCAGGAGCCTGCTCCTGATGATTTGACAGCTGAGATGGGCAAGCTTAGTCTCTCATGATATGTGACGCATGCAACATATTAGACCATTTATTTAGTTTGTTTATAAAAATATCCCTGTCAGCTTGATACATTCGACACCAATTGTCTCACATTACTAGTTTTTTCAAGTTTTTGAAATATAGATATAGATTTATATAGCTTATTACATTAAAATTAATAAAATGAAAGGGAATTCTTACTCCCCTTGTTTAAGTGTTTTAAAGAACCCTAAACAAAAAAAAATCATTGAATATAATGCTTTTTGATATTGTGTACCTTGATATTGCTACAACGTTCTCTTGGAATCAATTTAATCCGGTTTATTACTGATAAGATAGAATCTCTTTAAAGCTAGTCATTATCATTACCCCTTTTAAATAACTCATGGTCTTTTTTCGTTCTTTGAGAATATAAATAAATGGATTTATTTAACTACATTTCAGTAATTTTTGTTTCTTTGTACTCAATTTAACAAAAATGATCTTTCAAATTTGTAATGGCCAAAAATTTCACTGTTAGTTTTTATGACATCTTCACCTTTTAATCCCATTAAATTCATATTTTTAATCCCATTAAATTCATATTTTTAATCCCATTAAATTCATAGTATAATTTTTTAAGAACCTAATTTTTACAAATAAAGTTGATTGCGACAGTTTTTAAAAATCTTATATTGTCCTAACATTTTAACTTTAAAATAGAAATCAATCTCTTGATTATGGTGTGAGTTGTTGATATAATTTAGGCAATGACCAACTTGAGTGCTTACTTAGATCATTTAGGCAATGACCAACTTGAGTGCTTACTTAGATCATTTAGGCAATGACCAACTTGAGTGCTTACTTAGATCATTTAGGCAATGACCAACTTGAGTGCTTACTTAGATCATTTAGGCAATGACCAACTTGAGTGCTTACAAAGGGGTTTTTTTGTCTGTAAAATGTAATACTTTTTATTGGTCTCAATATTTCTAAAGTTATTTGTTTTTAAAATTATTCTTATGCAAAAAACCTTGCTTTTGTTTAGCATGATGCAAAGCCTGTAATGACCACTAAATGTCTCAGTTCATTTCAGTTGTTTTCTCTGTAATTCCCTGGTCAAATGTTGTACACATATTTTATACGGGCAAATTTTTTTTTTACATAAATCATTTGAAATTATTCCCCAATGCAATTTTATACAGTTTCTCCATCCAAATTTTCTATATTCTTTTAACATTGATTAGCAATCAATTATTATGCATACATTATATCAATTCTGGCTACCTATTTCTGTTTGTCTTTTTATGAGCTATACATTTGTTGACATGTTACTTTGGATCACCTTTGAGTGTGTCTTGGCAATAAATAGGTGAACACAATGAGCTCATAGTTTTCTGGGTTTTTCTTTTGTTTTTTTAATCAAATAGTTTTTGAGCTGGCATCATGCAAGAAGTTTTCAAAAAACAATTTAGAAATCAAACAAGTAAACTCCTTGTTAACTGTTTTTAAATATAACCCAAAGCTGTGAACCCAATGATGGGACATTTCTTCATAAAAATGGTCCAAATAAAAAAAAAAATTATTTTTTTGTGTCCAACTTTTTAAAATGGATATTGAATTACATTCCTATGGCGTTAAGCAAAAGGTGAATGTAATATTAGTAATAAACATGTATGCTTCTCTGGCCACCTCCAGTCTGGTGTAATAAATGTAGATGCTTCTCTGGCCACCTCCAGTCTGGTGTAATAAATGTAGATGCTTCTCTGGCCACCTCTAGTCTGGTGTAATAAATGTAGATGCTTATCTGGCCATCTCAAGTGTGGGTGATTATTATTAGCCCATTTAACACAGAAAATAACAGTTACTGAGAAAATCAAAATTTTGGAAGGGCTGCACTCAAGAATTAAAATATGAAAATGTTTTCTTTGCATACAATATTAAAATTGTTAAATTTCAATGAAGTTTTCATTCATTTAATAGAATGGCCACATACAACATCTGATAGATAATCCTATTGGCATGAGCATTAGACAAGAAAACAAGTTAAACATTTGATACATTCTTTATTTTCTTCCTAAATGCCACATTTGGAAAATTGAGCTTCAAGTTGTCCGCAAAAATTTTCACTTTCCAAAGTTTAATTTTGCCTTTGTATGATAGCAGTGCAAACAAGTTACACCAACTTCTGGGTTGTAACCCAAAATATTGCTCAGCATAGCTCTAACTGGGTCAGAACTGAGATATTGCTCAGCACAGCTCTAACTGGGTCAGAACTGATATATTGCTCAGCATAGCTCTAACTGGGTCAGAACTGAGATATTGCTCAGCACAGTTCTAACTGGGTCAGACCTGAGATATTGCTCAGCACGGTTCTACTTGGTCAGAGCTGAGATATTGCTCAACATAGCTCTAACTGGGTCAGAACTGAGATATTGCTCAGCACAGTTCTAACTGGGTCAGAACTTAGATATTGCTCAGCACAGTTCTAGCAACTAGTAGATTAAAAGTGGAGTTACCAAGTGTAGTAAATAGTACATTAAAAGTGGAGTTACCAAGCTTAGCAACTAGTACATTAAAAGTGGAGTTACCAAGCTTAGCAACTAGTACATTAAAAGTGGAGTTACCAAGCTTAGCAACTTGTCAAGTGAATTATGTTTTGGGAGCTTATGAACTTTTTGCACTGAACTTCTCTTTTTTCCTGTTTTTAAAATGTTAGGTATGCTGCTGTATTATCCCTTTGTATGCACGGACCTTTTTCAACTGTGTGCACAGACCTTTTTCAACTGTGTGCACAGACCTTTTTCAACTGTGTGCACCATTATGTCGTGTGCACAGACCTTTTTCAACTGTGCACCTCTATGGCATTGTGTGCACAGTCCTTTTTCAACTGTGTGCACCTTTATATCCTTGTGTGCACCTTTATATCCTTGTGTGCACCTTTATATCCTTGTGTGCACCTTTATGTCCTTGTGTGCACCTTTATGTCCTTGTGTGCACCTTTATGTCCTTGTGTGCACCTTTATGTCCTTGTGTGCACCTTTATGTCCTTGTGTGCACCTTTATGTCCTTGTGTGCACCTTAATGTCCTTGTGTGCACATTTTCTCCCTTGTGTGCACCTTTAAGCCCTTGTGTGCACCTTTATACCCTTGTATGCACCTTTATGCCCTTGTGTGCACCTTTATACCCTTGTGTGCACCTTTATGCCATTGTGTGCACATTTATGCCCTTTTGTCCACCTTTATGCCCTTGTGTGCATGCCCAAAGCTTACAGGAAACATTACCCACGTCCAAGAACTACAAATGGGATGCAGAATATTTTAGGTTAACCTTACAAAGAGAAGTATCTAATTCAACTCTATTTTCTCAATCTAAGCAATAAATGACAGAAGATCCTCAGTATAGAATACTCAAGTTAACTGTTAACCCCAATAGTTCCTTTTGGTAGTGGGGAATCCATTCTTAGTGGATTTTAAATGTATAAACTGTTAAAAAAAAACTTTAGGATAACATTCATGCTATTTTCATGTTACTGAAAAATGTGGACATAACAGCTTCATCCCTGGGACCAGCTGTTTATGAAAGCTACCAGACATGTGGACATAAACAGCTTCATCCCTGTGACCGGCTATTTATTGCTGCTACCAACATGTCGACAGCTTTGTTTCTTATCTAACAAATTTTATAAGATGTTAATAATGGTGTCAGTAAATGCAGTCATTGGGTTTAAACCAGTGAGTGAAAGATTATGCTCCATAAGGATTAGAGGAAAAGTGTTTAACATCACGTTAATCTGCGCTCATGCTCCAACGGATGATACAGATGAAAGCATGAAGGAAACTTTCTACGAAACACTGGAAGGAGTATTTGATGAGAGGCTCCACAACATGATATCAAAATAGTCCTTGGCGATTTCAATGCAAAAATTGGGAAATAACTAGTCTACAGACCAACAATCGGAAAGGAAAGTATGCATGATGAGAGCAATGACAACGGGACACGTCTTATAGACTTCGCCTCTGGAAAAGGAATGATAATCAGTATCAGAGTATTCCAACATAAACAAATACATAAAGCGACATGGATATCTCCAGATGGATTTACCCGTAATCAAATAGACCACGTACTCATCGACCAGAGGCATGGCTCGGACATATCAGATGTGAAAAGTTGTAGAGGGGCGGACATAGACTCAGACCACATGCTTGTTAGAATCAAATATAAGCAAAGAATCTGTAACATCCACAATAAACAAAATAAAAGAGAAAAACAGTACAATAGTCAGATACTGAGTAGGGACCCAAAAATTACTGAGGAATATCAACAGAAGATTGAAACTCAACTAGAATTATCCAAAAGAGAATCAGCCAGCAACGTTGATATAAACCAGCAATGGAAAAAGATGAGGCAAATAGTCACAAGTGTAACAGAGGAAACGATTGGATTTAAACCAGCAGTGAAAAGAACAGGATGGTGTGACGCAGAATGCAAAGAACTTATAGAACAAAGAAACAAAGCTCGACTAATGATGCTGCAAAGGGAAACAAGAAGAACACGACAATTATATAATGAAGCAAGAAGGGTGGCCAGCAAAATTTGCAGAAAGAAAAAACGTGTTTGGGAAAAATAAAAAATAGTAGAGATAGAAGAGTTGGCAAAAGAAAGAGATGTGAGGGGAATGTACCTGAAGATAAAGCAGGAAAAGAATGGCTTTCAAGCAAGATCCCACATGTGTGAAAGCACGGATGGAGAATTGATCACAGAGAGCAGTAGAGTACTAGAGAGATGGGCACAACACTTTGAAGACCTACTGAATGGCTTAGGTGGAGGAACCAATGAGGATTACGCCCCGCCACATGGAGGACCGGACCCACTGGTCAACCAACCAGCATTAAATGAAATAAAAGATGTAATCTCCACCATGAAAAATAAAAAAGCCCCAGGAATAGACCTTACCCCTACAGAACTGATAAAGCTATGTGGTAGCGAACTGCATAGGCAAATACACGAACTTATAACCAGAATCTGGCAGGAGGAAGAAATGCCAACTGAATGGGACACAGCACTCATAATCCCAATCCACAAAAAGGGATCTAAGCTGATATGCTCAAACTATAGAGGTATCTCCCTTCTTAATGTACAAAATCCTCACAAAACTTATAGCGAGAAAATTGGAAAAGTTCAGTGAACAGATCCTAGGGGACTATCAATGTGGATTCCGGCAGAATAGGTCAACCACGGATCATATTTTTACTATAAGATATCTCCTGGAGAAATGCTACGAATATAACATCGACATACACCAACTATATGTGGATTACAAAACAGCATACGATAGTGTAAACAGGAATTACTTATACAATGCTCTACAAGAACTTGGAGTCCCTAACAAGCTTACTCGGCTCATACACATGACAATGGCCAACTCCAAAAGCAGAATCAAGATTCAGGGAGAATATTCTAGGGAGTTCATAGTTAATCGGGGCCTCAGACAAGGAGACTCACTATCATGTATCCTGTTTAACATCACGCTAGAAAAAGTTATTAGAAGCATTCACATTAGCACCAGTGGAACCATAACAAACTATTTCCAGAGAGATACTACAGAGCAACGACCATCAGGAACCTTATATAGCCAACCATTGCATTACCTGGCATATGCAGATGATATAGCACTACTGGGTAAAAACCGTAATGACATAATTAAAGCATTCAGGGAACTTGAAAATGCCTCATTCAAAGCTGGCCTTGATATAAATGAACCGAAGACAAAGTATATGATAATGTCAAGAAACTCCCATGCTGATGATAGCATCAATATAAACAACCACAAATTTGAGAGAGTGGACACATTCAAATATCTAGGGGCAACTATAAATGAGCACAATGAGATAATGACAGAGGTGAAAGAAAGGATAACAGCAGGCAACCGTTCCTATTTCAGTCTACAAAAGCTACTGAGAAACAAAAACTTATCAAGGGGAACAAAGAAGACAATATACACCACCATCATAAGACCTGTAGTAACGTACGCTAGTGAGACCTGGACCCTCACCAGAAAAGCAGAGAACCTGCTCAACACATGGGAGAGGAAAATCCTGCGCAAAATATATGGACCAGGACCAGTGTTAGAAAATGATACCTGGAGAATACGTACAAACCAAGAACTTTACGATTTGTACAAAGAACTACCCATAGTCACAATGATAAAAAAAGGCAGAATAAGCTGGGCAGGTCATGTTGAAAGGATGCCGGAATGCAGAGCAGCCAAAATAATATACAGGCAGAAGCCTAGGGGCAGACGACTCATCGGTCGCCCAAGGATGAGGTGGATTGATGATGTGGAGACAGATTTACACCAGTTGGGGGTTCGAGCATGGAGACGAAAAGCCATGGATCGCTCCGAATGGAAGGATGTGGTGGAGCAGGCCAGGGCCCTACATGGGCTGTAGTGCCATTGATGATGATGAATTATTGTGTCATATTTGTTTTAATCACTTTATAAACATAAATCTGGGCCGTCTGCTGACCCTACTACATGGCATAATATGTATGGATGACTCAAACATTTTTCTACCTTTTTTGTATTTGTTGTCATTGTTTGTACGTACCTGCTTTGTAATCGATCTTTTTCTTTTCTTTTCAGGCAATCACGGCCAAAGAATTTCTGGCCTTCCCATCACCAACAAAATTACTTCAGCTTGGTCACAATGGAGTAGATGAATTAATACAAGAGTTGGGGGTATGTCATTCTATAAATTGTACTAATAGAAGAGTTGGTTTGGGGGTATGTAAATACCAAACATGGTACTGTTAAAGATTTGTGAGTATGTCATTCTATATATTTTACTAATACAGAAGTAGGGAGTATGTCATTGTATACCTTGTAGGGGCTTTCAAACATTGTCAATTTGTGTTTACATATTTCATCAATAAGTGAATTGGCATTATGTTATGTTTATCATGCAGTTAGCATGATGTTCTATGTTTATCCTATGGCGTTTTATATCTCATGTGATAGATTAAATTAGCTGCAGTACGCTATAAACTAGTAAGTTAGATTTTTAAAATGTAGCTCACGCTGTTTACCTGTTTCATAATACTTGTATGAAACTAGACCAGTGCTTTTAATAATACGTGTATGAAAGTGGACCGGTGCTTTTAATAATACTTGTATGAAACTAGACCGGTGCTTTTAATAATACTTGTATGAAACTAGACCGGTGCTTTTAATAATACTTGTATGAAACTAGACCGGTGCTTTTAATAATACTTGTATGAAACTAGACCGGTGCTTTTAATAATACTTGTATGAAACTAGACCGGTGCTTTTAATAATACTTGTATGAAACTAGACCGGTGCTTTTAATAATACTTGTATGAAACTAGACCGGTGCTTTTAATAATACTTGTATGAAACTAGACCGGTGCTTTTAATAATACTTGTATGAAACTAGACCGGTGCTTTTAATAATACTTGTATGAAACTAGACCGGTGCTTTTAATAATACTTGTATGAAACTAGACCGGAGCTTTTAATAATACTTGTATGAAACTAGACCGGTGCTTTTAATAATACTTGTATGAAAGTAGACTGGTGCTTTTAATGTGCTTTTAATAATACTTGTATGAAACTAGACCAATGACTTAAAAAAATACTTCTGTTATCCCACAAATATCAACCTTTTTCTCCAGCTCTGTCTGCCAGTTCAAATGAGGCTGTGAACTGACAGCAATAATTTCATGTTTCTGAAAAAGTTGGCATGAAACAAAATTGTTTTTATGAGAGTTTTTGCTCTTCTTTATTGCCGTAGAGAAAACACAGTTAGGATTAAAGTATTGATTAATATGAATACAGTAGTTGGTCAGTTTGAAGATTGAAGGTCCCTGGTGTTGGCTGCACACACCATAGTCTTTTTTTTTTGTTTCCTTTAATTCAACTTTTCAAGCATGTTCAAACACATATCTCTCTATTTTTTGTATGGTTTTATGGTTCTTTCTAACAGTTAATTAGCAAGATCTGGCTTAAGCTTTTTCTAGTTCCTCAAAGCTTTTGTACCATATCTAGGCAACATATGTGTAATGTATCATAAATGTGTGGGTTATGATGTCACTTATAGAGTTGTAGTTATTGCTTACACTATTGATCCACATCTACATACGTCCATATTTATCCAAACAAGTATCAGAGAACTCATTGAATTAGCACCACGACGTTTATTAACTGATCAACGTACACATAATAAAATAATATCTCTGTAGATCAAAGCAAAGAGAAATGTGACATATAACTTCTTCCACTTCACAAAATCAACATTAAGATGCTGTTTAATAACTAGATGATCGTGGCAAGAGCTAATAAAAAAGCTCCAACTGTTACTGTCGATTCTTCTCTATCCCATCATTCCTTAACTTCCTGTTTTTTTTTACTTAACAAAACAGTACATTATTTTACAAAACAAAATTGATATCTAAATATTTGATCTGTGACAATATGCATTAGGGTTGTCACATCTTTGCATTAGGGTTGTCACATCTTTGCATTAGGGTTGTCACATCTTTCCCTAACTCACTTTATATTTCGAATGACTAAATCAGTTTTCCTGTAACTGTGGGACCATAGGGCCTTTTTACAAATAATTTGTGTGTGTTTTCTTTCAAAGGAGGATGGCAAAGATGTTGATAAAGTTGTTGGAATGATTATGAAGGTAATAAATATAATCACTTTTTGTTATACAAGTTTTAAAGAAGCTTATTAAATCCTAATCAGATCAAAATAATCATAAGATAAAAGCAATGCCGTAGTTGTAGCACAAAGATTCAACATAATTTAAAAATAATTTCTTAATTTAGCAATGAAATGTTTACATAGATAAGTCCACCCATCTCCTGAATAATTATGTAAGAGAAGCTTTGAAATGCTGACAAAAGTTGACTTTTTTCTCTTAGTTCCTTACATTTAAATGTGAAAAAACACTTCATGAGTTTTCTATATTTTTCTTGTTGGGCATTCTGCAGGTATCTGCTGTAGTAAGCAGGGAGGATGAAGCCCAACAAAAGGCTTGTGAGTGTGCAGGTAGGATAACAAGTTGAGAATTGTTCATTTATGTTATCAACAGCAAGTGGAGCATCTCAGCAACATCACTGAAACTGTCACAGATTGGGTTGCACCAATAAGCTAATTGGCCGACAAGTTAATTGTCTCCTCTTGCTCAGGAGGCATGCTGTTGAGAGCCAGTCATTCGCAGATGGCACGCAGCTATACAAGCATACCCATCCCTTGCTTGTCGATTCCGCTGTCCAGACTTTGTGCGGGAGTGCATTGGTGATGTCAAGTCATGGATGCAGCTTAATGATGACAAAACGGAAGCACTTTTCCTTCACAATCAGCTCCATCCGCCACTAACTCACAGTTAGCATAACAAAAATCCTAGTCTGTGCTCTTGTTCTCTCTGGTCTTGACTATTGAATCTCTCTTCTATCAGGTTCACCAAAACAATTCATAGAAAAGCTACAAAAGGCTCAAAACTCAGCTGCTAGACTAGTTCTAAAGGCAAAAAAAAAGTGATGACGTCACTCCATTGGCTCCATATACAGGCATGCATTGATTACAACAGATCTGTTTACCCTCAAACTCTTAAAATCGTACAATATCATCAAAACTTCATTCAATACAATATCTTAATAGTAAAAAAAATAAATAATAATACATTTTATTTAATATATACACCTCAAAATCGTACATTGTACGCCAAAATCGTAAGAGTAAACAGGTCTGTTACAAGCTGTCTGTCACAACTTTCTCTCGTATTCCTGCCCTTCCTATCTAACCGAACTTCTTTCTTTCTATTCACCCATTCGACAGCTTTGTTCCTCCGCAGACACGCATATTCTGTCTGTTCCCACAACACGCACTTAAACATACGGTGAGCGATCTTTCTCTATCTGCGCTCTGAACAAAGGAATTCTCCCCCACTACACATCCGCAATATACCGACCATACAGGCCTTCAAATCTGCCCTCAAAACACATCTCTTTAAACTCTACGATCCCGACTGATTCCCCCCTCTGACCTATAAACGATGCTGCTGGGCGGCGTCCATCGCTTGACATGTAAAAGTTCTGGGGTGGGTGGGGGGAATATACATTTGTTTTTGTTTTGTTTTTTAATTAAATAAATGTATGTTATTTTTTAATATCATGATTATGTTTGCTGATATTTTTATGTACAGCGGGTTGAGCCCAGCCCTAGGCTGGGGTAACACGCTATTTAAGAACACTAACAATAATAATAACAATAATTGGCATTGAAACATTGATATATTATTATGTAATAATAAATTGTACTGTGAAAATGTGTTTTGTAATTAACTAAGTTATTTATCATAAAATTTCATAATTAGACACAAGCTAATGTTAAAGTTACCAGGGGGTAAAAATTAAAATTATTATAATAAAATAAGGTGAATAATTTCAAGCTCCTCTTTGGTTCTTGTTGGACTCGCACCAAGTGAACAGCCTCTGGTAGCCAACATGGAAATGTCAAGTTGAATTAAATTGTTCAAGTGAGCAGCCTATAGATAATGTATTTAACGCTATTGTGATGATATTGTACGATTTTTAGAGTTTGAGTGTAAACAGGTCTGCATTGTGTGCACCATTATGACCTTGTGTGCACCTTTATGCCCTTGTGTTTTCATTGTTGATCGGAACACTTGCATCAGAGGCTAACGTCATCCAAGATTTGACACAGCAATCAACAGGAGAAGCAGTTCCTGGGCTACTGGTGTCATACATGAGTTCATGTCATTCTTCTTTTTAAAATTACTGCCAGCTGACATGTTTGTTCTCACCTCTATTAAATGAAGCTGTTTACTTTTTTCCAGACAGACTTCTTCAAAATCTCTTTCAGCATGTCAACAATGCTGGTGCCCTTATAGCTAATTCATTTTTAGTTTTCTTGGGCCTACTTAAGGTGAGTTGGCCTGCTTAAGGTGAGATTAAAGTAAATACACGCACTTACAAAATATGAATCTGAAATTTAAATTTTATTTGTACAATAATAACCAAAGAAGTCCATTTTCCTAGTACGATTATGTGAATACGTTATTGTTTTTTTTTCATAGGTTTGTTAACTCTTTACCTCTAATTAATTTCTGAGATAAATGTTAGTTATGAATCTATTGCTCATATTTGTGTACTTGTCTCAACCAACTAAAGGGGGAAGACAAGAAATACAAGCCTCCTGCAAGCATCACTGGAGCATTGTTGGTACTGGAGCATGTGGTTAGACAGCCCTATTTCCCTAAGCTTGCCAGGGATATGATTCAGATTTTAATGAGCAAGTAAGTGAATTAATTAATAATTTTATCTGTGAATGGTCCGGCTATATGACTCTTTGACAACTGTGAATGGTCTGGTTCTATGACAACTCTGAATGGTCCAGTTCTATGACAACTGTGAATGGTCCAGTTCTATGACAACTGTGAATGGTCCAGTTCTATGGCTCTTTGACAACTGTGAATGGTCCAGTTCTATGACAACTGTGAATGGTCCAGTTCTATGACAACTGTGAATTGTCCAGTTCTATGACAACTGCGAATGGTCCAGTTCTATGACAACTGTGAATGGTCCAGTTCTATGACAACTGTGAATGGTCAGATTCTATGGCCCTATGACAACTGTGAATGGTCAGATTCTATGGCCCTATGACAACTGTGAATGTTCTTGTTTTATGGCCCTATGACAACTGTGAATGGTCCAGGTCTATGGCCCTATGAGCCAACTGTGATTAATGTCATGCCCATCATATTTGCCTCGCATTTATAATCACTAGTAACAACAAATAAATACTTTTTATTCTCAACAGGCCACATCCTATACTGGAAAAATCATCTGAAGCCAGGCATAAATTGTTACAGACCTTATATGCATTTTAATTATGGACATAAATTAATTTACTTATCAACTAGAAAATAATAATTTGGTTATAAAATAATAGTTTTGTTTATTATTGCTATTGTTTCTTGATATATTTTTTTTAAATTTGAGGTCACAGCTAGAAAATAGATTGATTTAAACAAACATTTAAATGTAGGCACTTAATTATTATTCCATGTTTTCGTCTCAACTCTCTTAGGGTATGTATTAATTATGATAATCTCTGTACCGGGTACTGGTTTTAATTTTAAGACATTAAGTGCCAACATATTTTATAGTATTGTCAGAAAAATAAGAGGTGAATATGGACAATTTTTACAATATATTATCTATTGTATTTCTTTTATAGATATTTTTTCTTCTGAGAAGGAAAAACAAATAAATATGATTCAAATTAGGTCATATGTGATTGAGGTTTGATTTCTTGAGGCTCGTGTTTGCAAATTGATTGTATTTAATTTAAAATAATCACTTGCGATAATTTAAATTGCTAGTTAATGTATTTAATTTGTTTTAAATTTCAATTTATTCAAAATTAAATTGAAACTAAATTTACAATAAGTGCTAGTAATGCTGAGAAATGGTGTTTTGGCTTTTGAAAACTATTTTGATGTTCATGGAAAAACGGTTGTATTCCTACATTTGTTCTAACCTTGTTTAAGTTGGTCCCTCTGATCCACATCAAATAGATCCTTAGGACACAAGTTGAATTGAAACAACTTCTTTAAGGAGTTTCAATGTGGCTAATCTTTGTTATTAGTATTTCTAGTTTATTTGGGGTTAAAGTTATCTTAATAATAAAAAACAGGAACAGATATGTATTTTGTATTTTCTCTGCAAAAAGTTTTTAAGATGTTTTTGTAAATATTGTGGCAGAGACACTTAAATTATATTATTATCACGACTGGAATCGTCAGTTAATGCTTTCTTCCCTAGGTTATAAATATAATGAATACCTGTACAAATAGTTATTTGAAATAGAATTTATTGTTACCCAATGCTTCGTTATCAACCAGTACTAGTACCACTGTTAAGTTTCTCAGTTTCTGAATCACATGACAAACTCGTTATTTTGACATATTATCATGGAGTGATGATAAGTTTTTATTGACAATGAAATGCATCAATGCCACTAAAAAGTTTGAGTGTAGCATTACGCAGACTTACTACCATGAAATTACTACATTGAAACAAATAAATATGTTGATTAAATGATTGATTTGTTGTCAGTTTAGCACAATACATAATCTTTCTTTTTAAAAAGAAACAAGCATGCAATTGGTAAAATAATTTCTAACATTTTACACTGTCATGATCTCTATCAAATGTTTTTTACATTTTGAACTTCACAGCAGAATATGATAACTCACTTTTCATAATTCTCAATTTTTGTGGGATGGATAGTTTTTTAAAAATTTCCCAAGATTATTTAATAATGGTATGCAATATCTAATTGGTGCTAGTGTGCTTTGTGGTCTACAATAGGTACTAGTGTGCTTTGTGGTCTACAATTGGTGCTAGTGTGCTTTATTGTAAAGCCACATCAGCTCAAGAAAAATGAAATATCACGGATATCTTTATCTAGAAATATTTTCCCCTTCACTCAACAGAAAATTAACAATCAATAAGTCAAAACAGTTTAAACTCTTTATTCACATAATACTTCATGATTTTAACAGCAACATTATCGTTTCAACCAAACGCATAAGCCACATTTTTATTGTAGAATACAGTTAATCATTTCAGTTCTATTTTTCTTCTGAAGTTTTGTTAGAAATTAAATAAAATATTGTATCAAAGACAAGATCATCTCCGTAATAAGGCATAACACTTGCCTAAAACAGTTTTATAACTAATCAAATTTTATTTTTAATAATTACAATTTTTTTCACAGCAAATAGTAACAGTAACAAAAACATACAATTCAAGATATTTGTGTATTTGCCAATGTTGGAGCTACAACAAATCCTTTCCCCTTAATATTAAATGGTGCTCCCTTGTATGTGGCTACCCTGTCAGCATTGGTTCTCACATCAGGTTTTAATGTCTCCCAAATCTTCTTCTTTGGGTTTAACTGAACATCAGGGGTTCCTAGAAATGATTAGATGTGATAGTATTGATCAGTAAGAGTTCAAGTGTCTTTTAATTTGTATATTCATTAATTTTGTAAATCTTAAATAATGTAAGTAAAGGGCAACAAATCTTTTTAATTCAAATTCCTTGCAAAATCTTTAGAGTTTACATAAATACCAGTACTCTTAAATAGTTTACTTAAATGGCATTTAAAATTTTTACCAGTACCCGTAACCCATTTCAATGTATCAGTATCAGAACATTCTTTTTAAGCGGCCATCCCTTCCTAATATTTACATAACAAAGACTTTACCCTGTGAAGGGGCCTTCAGCATCAAGGCAGGGAATGAAATATTTAAAATCTAATTGTGATTTTTTATTTAATTGTTCACTACATAGTCGGAAATCATTTCTATTCAGTGTTTTCTGCATTCCATATCAATAAATGCTGAAATTTTCATCTAAAAATTTATTAAACAGCGAATGGAAGTAAAGAAGAGTTTAAAGCAAAACTTATGATAAATTTGTTTTCTTAGAATGAACTTTCATTAAAGTCCCAAATGAAAGTAGCAACATCATTTTAAACAAATAACAGTAGCTCTTGAGAATATTATTTATTAATTTGTTTTTCATAATGAAAATTTCATTATGGTGCAACATTTTTTTTTTATCATTCCTTGCCTTGCTGTTGGTGTTATTAATAATTGTGAAGCTTGTGCTGCTACTTTAAAGACAACTTGATCAAAAGCACTCATCATTCTGATATATGTATACGGTCTGTTATAAATGTATACCGGTCTGTTATACCTGGATACTCATCAAAAGTGACTCTATCACCAATGACTGAATCTGTTGGTGGGACCAAAATCTCTGTTTTCTCTGCGCCAACTGCACACATGATCATGCCCTCAGACAACACACCCCTCATTTTGGCTGGTTTCAGGTTACACATAAATACAGCTACACGATCTTTCATCTGTTGATCAAAGGGTGAAGTTTAACTCTCAAAAGACTGTAGATTTTTCCATTTTTTAATGACCTTGAATATATCTTATTCTTCAAAGTGTCTCATGACTGTAATTTTGTAGCTACCTCCAAGTATTATATATGATTTTAAAGGTAATTGAATGCTCTTTAATTGATACTTGGTGTTTGTACAAAATATCCTTGCTAAATTTGATGTTTTATTATTTTTGGGCAAAAAAATTATTTTTTTAAGTCGACAAAAATATAACATCACAGTTTTACAAAGAAGGAAAAAAAAAAAGTGTTTCCAATTAAATCAATAAAATTGATATTTTATTAGAATCTGTTCAATACTATAAAACATATTCAAGTTTCAAAAGAATAGACTCATAAATAAAAAAGTTATGACCATTTGTAAATAACATATCATTCAAGGAAATATTTCTCAAAAAGTCAATTATTTTTTTTAAAAAATAATAATTTTTTTTTTTCAAAGGAAAACATATACTGCATCATATTATCCTTTAGAGGGTTATTAGTAAGTATTATTTGAGAAGAAAAGTGAAGAAAAAAAAAGGCAAATTTTAATAAATAAATTTTTTTATGCATCCCCGAGATACCGATCAGAGGATATAATCCTTCGCCAAGACCATGCATAAAAATTCTTGAAAACAATTTCTTTATTTATTAAAACATACAAATGTATCAAAAAGAAAGCCTGAGACATATGCTCTGACCATTTTACCCTGTTTTGGTAACCCACAATTACATTTTTTGTTATTGTCAATCATTGTCATGTTGCGGCGCACGATGTAAAGATTTCGGGCTTTACAGTATCAGGTTCATCATCAAATATGTCAATTGTTCCCTAAATTGTTCATTAATTGCTACATTTTCTTGATGCTGATACAGTTGATTGTATTTTGCATTGAGATACAGAAGTGTCTCCCAATTTTGCACAGCATGTTTCCTTTATTTTCAGTATCAGAAACTTTTAGGAAACTCAATATAGCCTTGAATATGTCCTTAGTACTAATGGCCTTGCTCATTGTCCATCATAAAAGGATTTCCTGGACATTTCTTGTAAAATTAAGAGCTTGATAAGTCCTGCATTCATAATAAATCCACTTAGTAGCTAAAACTCCCCTTCAATGATGTTATAATGGTACCAATTTTTGAAAACACAAAAGTTCTGCGGTCCATTGTCCTGCGCACAAGGCTTACTAATAACCAACCAAATCTGTAGTAAAGTAGAGGTTGAAAATGTCAATTTGCTTTTAAAATCTCCTTATATCCTCTCTTGTTATAACATCAGGAAGCAATAGTCCTTTTCACCTCTGGTCTAAATGCAGCAAAGAGTCCCACAGTCTTTTGTCATCATAGCCCATTGTATTGACTATGTTTGACATCTGCCCTTCATAGCATAGATGCTGTCAAAATATAAAAAAAAAATTAGTTTAGCTAAAATAAAAAAATTACAATATAAATAAAAAGAATTCAAAATATTAAACAATCTGCCTAAATTACTTTTACTTCAAGTTTTCATTGAAAAGGGAACTCAGCTGATTGTTACAGTGTAATAATAGTAAATAGCCTTGGCCTTGAGAACCATTGTTTACATTTTGCTAACTGAAACGTAATAATATTAAAATAATATTATAACTACAAATTAGTTTCAAACAAATAAATAATTTAATCTATTTAAGAATTTTATACTACTGGAACTTGAATAAAACTAATGTTAGGGCTAATAATAGTGCTAAGAAGTATCACAGTATGCGTGAGTTGAGTATGAATGAAAAAAGTAAACAAACCTTGGATGCTATTATTATGATGATAATTTACAGAATTCTCGGTATCAGACACATCTGAAGTGCTATCTTCATCATAAATATTCTTCTAAGTAAGAATAGTCGTCCATTTCAAGCTTATAATCAGAATCAGACTCCATAGCAATGTTTTAGAGTGTAGTAAAAGCGAACCGGAATGGTGGCAAAATATGAGTAAATGGCGAAAAGTAAAATTTATGAATGGATAAGTTGCTACCAGATTTCTTCAAGAACTAGTAAAATAAACAATTTTTCTTTCTTGCCAAATAGAAATTTAACATTCCAAAATAGTAAATCTTTATTGTCGCCTTTTAATATTATTTTTATATATATTTTAGGGGTCGTTCTTTTCACCCGCCATATATGACAGATTTTTCAATCTCCCGTCTTTTGAGAGTTAAACAATCTTTTTATGGCAATTACAGCAACAACAATAAATACATTTGACAAAATAAAAATGTTAAAACGTTAGAATCTCAGTTCTTTCCAAAAATTTAAATGAAACAATTTTTGTTTTAAAAATAATTAAATTGTGCCACATAATAATATGTTATTTTGACATTTGAAAAAAATGAAAAAAGTCATGAGATTAAAATTGAGAAAAAACTTATACTAAACCAACATAAACCAACTAAATGAAATTAAAATATCTTTATTTGTGCAAAAGTTGCGCTCACCGCATTAATGGGAATATGTTTGACCAAACCACTGACTACCGTTCTGTTCCGTCCTTCACCCACATCTACTTGTTCAACATATAAAGAGTCGGCATCAGGATGTTTTTCAACTGAGACAATTTTTCCAACTCTTAAATCTAGCCTAGAGACATCCAGAGCTGCATCCCCACTGTCATCTTCAGCAGCAGTGGCAGACTTCTTTTTGGAACTGCTTCCACCTTAATTTAGAGAAAATGCGAAGTTAATTTTAAGCATATCAAATTAGGATACCTGGTGGCATACCAAAGTTTCATATTAAATCAATTGAAAAAGATAGAAATGCTTAATTTAATTACAAAATTAACTGATAATATAAAACAAAAGTACTGGAAAAAAATGTATCTGCAACTAAAATTCCGAGAAAAAAAAGGGGGACGGGTGGGAAGCTTAATCGTACAATGTTACACTGACTAACATATTGGTAATCATTTTCTTGGCTATGCCCTATATCTCTACTGTAGGAATTGCTTGCAGTCCTAAACTCCCATGGTCAAGTTTGGATTCCTGTTGAGGTCTAACCTGTTACAGTAGGACTTTATTAGAGCATTTGAGTTCCTTGGGGGATCAGTTGAGACCATGGATCTCATTTACTGGGCATGTTAGCATGAACACCTTTGACTTTTGTGCTGTGTCCCCATTCAACCAAACCAACCACTTTGTCCTAAAGTAGTCTACCCACCAGTTTTTAATATAAAGATAGGCAGACCTGGTTAACACTTGTTACTGTGTCTTGAAACTCCAAAATATAGTACAATATCATTTCAGGATAGTCCTTTACCATCTCAAAATCGTGCAATGCCCTATCATAATAGCGGAGGGTGCAGTCTGTCCCGGGGTGGAATTTTTCTCTATACGGAGGAGTAGCATTTTTGGACAACTGCAGTTTTTTCGTTGAAGTGGGTGGCAAAATTATAGGGTCTTCCCAGGCAGCATTAACCCTAGCTATCTCAATGAAGGTATACAATAACTATTTATTATTGTTCGTCCTTCAATGTGAAGATGACCAAAACTTGGATCTCTAACCCAATTTACCACCGGATGGAGAAAAGAGCTAAAATCAAAAGGTGAACATGTATTCTTTAAAGTCGGAAAACTCTGGGAATTTTTTTTTTTAACACTGTCCCCTAAAATCATAGTTTAGCCAGGTCCCAGCCTACAATCATAAAGATATCTCAAAATTGTATATTGTACGCCAAAATTGTAAGAGTAACCAGGTCCGGATAAGTGACTGATACTAATGCTGCGGCCAGGGCAGCTATGATTTTTTTGCCAGAGCAATGGCTACGAAATGAATTGACAAATTTTTAAAATCCTTTAATTTGGAAATTAAATTGGCAACTTAAGGTGGGTTATTAAAAACATAAATTACCTTTGCTCTCAGCCTCTTCACCTTTTTCTTTTTTATCAGTCTTTGCTTTTTTACCTCCTGCATTAGGCGGCTCGGTGTCATTTTGCTTTGTTTTCTTACCAGCTACTTCAACCTTTTGTACTTTTGATTTTTCATCAACTGATTCTTGTTTCACTCCATTGACCAAATTTGTTGAGACAACAGACTTGGCTGTTCCGACTGCAGAAAGTGCACTTTTGCTTGGCAGTTGAAATTGTCGCACTTTAAGCAAAATAAACATTTTTTTTTATATAAATAAGTACCGGTACTTAACAGCATGAACCTGACATGATATTTAAAAAAAAATAAATAGTTAAACTTTTGAGTCTGGATGGTATGATGTGAAAAACAAAACAAATTCAAAAACTTTTAGGAAATGAAACGTGATTTTCTTTAAACAAGATTTGTTAGAATTTCCTAAAATAATATTTGTTCTGAAAAGTTCAAGTACCCTTTATGAAATTCTGTGCATACTAAGGAAAATGCTTTAAAAAAATTTACATAGCTAACTAAATTTTCTACATACAGCTCATCTTAAGTAAAAGTACAAGCCAGCCAGCAGTGTTGGGTATAAAATGTACTGTATGCTAGACATCAATCTGTACAGATAAAAAGACTTAACAGTTAAAAATAAATACGGTATGTAAAAAAATTACCTCCATTTCCAATTTCAGCAAGAATAAGTGCTGCTCGTATAGATTCAATTTCTTTTTTGAGCTCTCCATTTTCTTTTATAAGCGCCCCCTCCTCAGAAAGTCCTCCTTTCTTTACTATGTTTCATTTGTAGAAGAAAGACAAAATTTCTTTAAAAATGTATAATATAATATTAATAATTTTAAAGGAATGGCATTTGATACATCTGCTATTAATTGAAACACAGTGAAAAGGTTTTTAAAAAGATTATAAAAAGGAATAAGCAATAATTTTAAATAAAAAAACATTTTTGTTTCTTCATTCAAATGCTATGAATACTACATAAATACTGTCAAATGATTAAATAACATATAACTTGTTAATAGATTTTCTTTTTACTTGCTGCTTTCTTTATAGCCTCTATTTGGCCTTGGAGATCAGCCAAAATCTTCTCAGTTAAATCTGCCCTGGCTTTTACTCTTTCAAAATCTGCTTCAGTTGCCATTCTGTAATTTTATGATCCAAAATAAACCACTTAATACTTAATGATATATATTTAAACCAAAAAAAATTTCTGTCAGAGAAAATTCGGTTAAAGTTAAAATGTTACATACACTTAAGGAAATAGTGAGTTTTTAACAATTTTACTTTTATTTTAACAACAGATGGTTGAAAGTAACTTATTTTTAAATTAATTCTTTATAATTTGCCCATAAAATCTAACAACAGCCAACAAAATAATAATTAAAAGTTGCTGAACACATCAAAATGTCCTTTTCATCTATTGACTATTTAAAGACAATAACAGAACTTAATAATACTTTTTCAGTTACATTAATTGTGATTAATTTCAATGCTAAAAGTAATAAGAGTTTTAAAAAATTAGTCATCTTTATTATATGGTTGAAAAATATGCCTGCTCTATTATGGTTCTGTTATAAATGGAGGAATCAGTGCAACTAAAATCATTACATATAAAAAGTCTTACGTAAATACAACAAACCTATTTAAAGAAGAATATAAAAGTAGTGATGTGGAGTTGTATGTTTTTTTCAGCAAGGGCAAAGTAGTAGAGAGATTGGTGTGATGTGACAATGCTCTCCAAACTGAAATTATCAGCATCTAGAGAGAAGAATAGTAGCTGTAGTTCAAAGGTTTCTTTAAAAAAATATCAGATTTGTTTAATAACAAAAGTAATGAGTACCAGCAGTAAAATTTTAAACATTTTAAACCTTATTTCGCAGAGGTGCTCATGACTCTATTTACATAATTTTATAAATGCTTTTCAATATTGTCATGAGAGTGGCAGTTGCAATGCTGATGGATACAGATAATGATTTCAGGGCACAGACTAAATATTGGGATTGTGGAAATAAGTTATGGGTTAAATTCAAAACTTTGTGTGCTAAAATCTGTGCAGGGTGATGGATGAAACCATGGATTAGATGAAGTGAATAGATTCGATATATCAATTTTTAAATTTGTACATACTTTTAATACAGAATTATACAATTATGGATATTATTAATATTTTCTTTTAATTATACCGGGTAATCAATAAAAAATAGCCCTCAACAATAGTTCATTCATGGAATGCATCAGAAAATAATAAATAATGACATTCTTAGCAGCAGTTGCTTATACTGGTATTTTTGCCTATAAAAAATATTGGCTTAATCCATTATCACCCCCCCCCCCCCACCTTTCCTTACCTACTCAATTACTTGTGATACAAAATAATATAGTTCAGGAAGACAACAACAAATGTACAGATCTTGGCCAATGGAAATACTTCGATGACTCAAACAATGAAATTTATGTACATATCCAAATTTTATTTTGCATAGTTATTGTACACATTAGGCCCAACAGATGTACACAAAAAGAATAAGGTTATTGTTATGATAATAAAAATCAAATGAATTGCTTTTTCCAAGAAACCACGTAGAGATATTAACAAAGATATCGTTGGGCCTGAGAAAAGAAGTCACATCAAAACTGTTCGCAGCATCCAGTCCTACTTGATCTTCAACTTATCGGATCCCTTGTATGATTTCAAGACCTTGGCATAAATTATAATAAACATACATCACATGACCAGGTTATAACAATCCTTTTCTCAGGACTACTTCATATTATATATAAACCATGCAATATATTTCTTTTATTTTATTTTAAAAAATATAATTTCTTAATTCAAATCTTCAAATCTTTTGGTTGAGGAACATTAGCTATGTGCCTAGTTTCAATATTTTTTTTTTAACAAGCCCAATTTCAATATACCAGTCAGTAGCTGAAACAAAAGACCAAAATATGGTATCCTAACCTATTCCTGTAGTCCAAATTACATTGCAGGGTAATTATCAGGAATTTTGTTTGTTTAATATACATAACAACTTTGAATAGTATGCATCATAATTATACAGTCTAAACTTGCATGAATGAGTTCAGATTTGGGGGTTATTGACAAAAAATGAAATGAAATCTTCCTCAAATAAAAATTATTCATAAAAACTTCACTGACTTCAGGCTATTTAGGAACTTGGATAAATCATTTTTCTGATAGTGACAAATCATTGCAGAGATATGTGCGCCTTGTTCAATTTTTTTCAACTTGAAAATGTAAAATACATCGCATATGCATTGGTAAAAAATTCAGTTCGCTGTCATTTCTTTGTTAAATAGGTTGTTTGATACATAATTTTAATGAGAATTCAGGTTGAAAAGTACTGTTTTCTGATTTTTTATTTTTAAAATTTTTTGAGGAAATATTTATGAATTTGAATTGAGGGAATTCCACTATTTAATTTCTCATACATTCTCCAACAGTTGCAATTTTCATGAAAATCCTGTTTAAAACCCTCCAATTATCTATAAGAATGGGCTAATAAATTTTCCCCTCGCCTTACCCCAAAAATTTTATGTAAGTTTCAAACATGGACCACATGGATATAATGACAACATTTCCTCCATGGATACCATTGTTTATTAACCCTTTCACCCTTAGGCCAATGCTGAGCCACAAACAGTCTTTCCTTGGGAAAAGGGGCATAACTCTGTAAAATTTCCAACATACAATTTTTTAAAATCAACCAAAAAACACATAAAATTTCTTATAAAAAAGACTTAAAAAAAAATGAAAGAAATGTTTAATTTTGACTAGAAGTGCTGGCGACAGAAGTTGGCATCAAGTTTGCGTGGAATTTTGAGAAACATTCTCCTTTACAAAGTCTAACTTGGCACAAATTACACCAATAAACAGTCTCATGTGCCCTCTTTCTTTTTCCAAACTGTTTATTGATTGAACAAAAGTGGCAAGCACGTTTGTTCCCAACCATCCGTATCAGCCGGTGCTCAAGCAAATCAGCAGTCCTTACTCCTTGAGAAGCTGGTTGACTTGTTGGTTTTCTCTTCCAGCTGATGTTGCCTTTCAGCAAAGATGAGCTAAGGCTTAAGCGAAACTCCTTATGGGACAGCATGTTTTTTTTTTGGATGTGGTCTGTGAGAATGGAGTACGGTACAGGATCCAACTATTGACTATCGCAATCTGGAGGAGAAATCGAAATATGTATCTCCACCACTTTACAGATTTTCTTCCTACTGGATAGTAGGAACACAATTGATCCAATTTGTCCACACCCCCAATGGATTTGTTGAACACATCCACAACAGTAGGAATTGTCACTTCGTACCAACCTCCTGGGGCACGACGTGAAACTGTGGACGTCCCTGGAGCAGTGTTAGTGCTTAGCAGTGTAACACATCTTTTGTCCTTCCAGACTGTGGCCACAAGATTCCCATTTTGCCTCACTTGAATGTCTCCTTTTTTTCATTTTTTTTATTTTTGACGCTTTAAATTCTGATGGCCATCCTTTTCTATTGGGCCTTAGTGTTGAGCAACAATAAGTATCCTTTGCCAACAGATCCTGAGCTAATTGAATTGAAGAGAAATAATTATCAAAGAAGAAGTGGTGATAATTATATAAAAATCTTTCTTCCAGTTTTGAAACAACATAAAGTCCACTTGCGTGAGGCATGTCATCTTTCACCTTTCCAGTATATATGTTGAAATCAAGAAGTTGCCCTTTTGATGAATCGGCAGCACACCAAACCTTAATGCCCCAGGGGTTAGGTTTCCCTTTGATGTACTGTTTAAATGCCAGTCTCCCACTGTAAGCTATCATTGCCTCATCTAAACTTATGTTCTTGCCTACTGTAAACCGGAGGCTGAATTAGCTTTGATGAGTTCTACAAGTGGTCTAACTTTATGTAGGGGGTCATGGCCTTCTTGGCCTCTGGGAGGATTAAGAGATGAGTCGCTTAGATTTAAGTATTGTGACAGCTTCTCGTAGCGTGATTTACTCATACACAAAGCCACCCCTTGGACATGGAGGCGATCATCTGTTGACCAGTAGTCAGAGTATTCTGGTAGAACATGTATACTCATAATTATATAAATGTGAAACATTAGTTTTATTTCACCAACTGTTGCTGGCTTCAAATATTTGTCCACTTTAGCTGCCCTTTGTTGACATTTTTCAGCATACAGATTTGTTTGGTTTACCACTGCTGTATAAAAGTCTTCTGGTAGTAACAAACTAAAATAGTCCAATGGCTCTGCATCTGACTCTAAATCATGTTTAGGGCCACTATCTGCAATGAATTTCCTTACCACAACATCTGTAATGTTATCCCACTGGCCTATGATGTTTGGACCTATTGGGTCCATGTTGTCTGGGTCTACAGCATCATCAGACTCGTTATCAGTATCATTATCCGTGTCACTAAGGTCAAACTGTTTAATTGGAACATCAACATCACTTTCACCTTCATCAATTTCATTATTATCCCCTAAATCATATGTATTCCCATCATAATTGTACCCTGTAGCATCCCTAAACATCCTTAGAACATCATCCATTTTGAAAAAGAAATCCACAAAAAACACTCAAATTAAAAAAATTGTCAAAAACACAAGACTCGTCCAAAAATAATCAAAGAAAGACGAAAAGGAAGCATATTTATAGCTCTTTTATTTGAGATTTTATGAAAGCATATATTAACTACTTAAAAAGTTGAATCGGCTCTGCAGCGAAACAACCGAAAATCTGCGACGCTCAGCGACTTAAAGTGTCTATCGGTAGGCGCGACAATCGGCGACTCCAAGGGGGAAAGGGTTAAAGCTTGAAATTTTTTTTTTAAAGTAAAAGCCTTTGACCATGAAGTGGCAGCTCTCTCAAAAAGTCTCTTCCCAGTTTTAATTTTAGTCACTGTTATGTTTTCATATACTTATATGTCTCTATTAACAGAGTGATCCCAAAATAATGTACACACTCCCCCCATCACAAAAAGCTAGACCCCCTCTCAAATATAATGTCACAAACCTCTGCACCCCCCCCCCACCTCTTCCTAAAAAATATCAATCTGTCCACTAGTGTCCTTTACTTACAAAGCCACAAATAATTAACCTCCCCTGGATATACCCCATCACAAAAAGCTAGACCCCCTCTCAAATATAATGTCACAAACCTCTGCACCCCCCCCCCCACCTCTTCCTAAAAAATATCAATCTGTCCACTAGTGTCCTTTACTTACAAAGCCACAAATAATTAACCTCCCCTGGATATTGAATTACTGCACCTGTGTCAGAAACATTTCCCTAGAAGAGTGGTTCTTAACCTGGGGTGAAAGCACCCCCTGAGGCGTGGAAGACCCAGAAAATTGTATTTTCTGCCATTGGTAGTTATTGCTGCCTTTTAATTAAAAAAAAATAGTTAGTCTTAATGCATTTCGATTTGGTACCTGTAGTACAGGAGTAGACCTAAATGTTTTTTCTGGTGAATTTTATTTACACATTACTTGCCCAAACCACCACCACAAAGCATTTTTCGGTATACCCCATTCTTCATTCCATCCCACTTCACGTAGTACTATTACTAGTAATAGCCCAAATTCTTTGAGTCCCATCTCCACGTCCACATTTCAAAAACAATTCTTATCAATGTCACTACTACCAATACTACTATTACCCTATATTACAGTTACTATTCTCCTTTTCTGCTCCACTGCTATTCACTCTTATTATAAACTTACACATTCACAGTGTCAAATACTTGTTACTTAATCATAAGTCATAATTAAATATGAAAAATTAAAATAGGTAGCCAGTCTGCCAGAGTAGACTACTAATTAATAATAATTATTTATTTAATTAACACATTGTCAAATGAATCTAACCTTCACACATCATTGCAAACTAAACTTACTTGTAAAATGTACCAATTTTAAAGACAAGTTTAAAGTTAGTGGAGAGAAATCAAATTTTTGTAGTTTGTTTTATGGTCCTATTTTATTTCCTCACACTCACTGCTAATGTACAGATACGAAAAAGGTCACACTAAAGACTAATAGCAAGTTAATTACAAATTAGAAGCCTAAGATTACAAAGAAGCATGACGTCCCCGATGTTAGTAGAAAAAATGAAGGTGATCAATAATTCTAAAATGAATAATTTTATATCAAGAATTTAAGATATATTATATGTTCCTCCCCCAGATTTATACCAATTTATTATTAAAAAAAAAATTGTTGAAAACTGAATTTCCTTTTGGTAATACAGTCATTTATCGTGAAGTATATGTAGGTTATGGTAAATAGAGGGACCTCTGATTGTCTCCCCTGAATACAAAAAGTGGGTATTAAAAACAATACTATTTATCGGAACAATTACTCATTAGAGCTTATGGAACTTGGTGGTAGGTGTGTTTATTTTTCCAATTTCGTTAGACTAAAATCGAACTGGCTAAGATGGAGCTCTGCGCTTTCTTTTGCACTACTGGTTTATAATTACTTCTCCCCTTTAGTTTTAAATTGAATGTTAACTAATTAATTTAATTATGATTAATTAGACTAAGCTTAATTTTTAAAAAATAATTTGCATTTTGCCAACAAATTACTTGAATTGAATTAATTAACGTTCAGTCATCAAGAAAAAAAAAAAAAAAAAAAAAAAAAAAAAAAAAGGGGGAAAAATAAAAAAAAAAAAAAAAAAAAATTTAAAAAAAA